AAAATAATATTATCAATAATACGGAGAAACAACAATCGGTGCCCCGACATTAATACGGACAGGCAACCGACAGTGTCCCGACAAAAATAAGATTAACAATAATACAGAGAGACAACAATCGGTGCCCCGACAATAATACGGACAGGCAACCGACAGTGTCCCGACAAAAATAATATTATCAATAATACGGAGAAACAACAATCGGTGCCCCGACAATGATCCCGACAGACAATCGACAGTGTCCCGACAACAATAGCAAGTAAATACGTAAATTACCGGAGTGTATGGGACAGGGTGGGGGGGAGGTAAATCTGAACAGCCGCCCTCGATAACAGGAAATCTTGAGGACAGAGGGGCAAGTTGCAAGCACATGTATTTCTACGGGCTCTGATTGGTCAATTTTGGAAAAGTTTGAGCGTGGCCCATGCAATCCAAAACGAGGCGTCCCCGCGTGATCCAAACAAGGAAATCACCGTGCACTGGTCAGCGTAAACCTAGTGGGCGAGGTCGGCTTATCGCGTCCGGCCTAAATTTCTATTTTCGTTTCACGAAAATGAATTTATGCCTATCTCTCTAGCCGATACAACAGATTTTAACAGCCAGAACAAATGATCAACCAACACGATTTGCTTCTTTGGCGGGAATAAGAATATTTTTAATGTCAGAATGGGATCAGCCCCCAATAAAAACAGTCGTAGGAAACCATGGTTCCCCACACTAGGCAACTCGCCTGGTGGTTCCCATGGGAATCGATATACACAATTTCTGATAGGATTTGTTATGTAAAGATAACATGTCAAATCTACAAATTTTCATACATCATAATACTAGTATTCTATTGTCAATCAAGAATTTCTTCCACCACCAAAGAGAGCTATCGCGATAAACATAAGGCCGAAAAGAAACCCGCCAAACGAGCCCACTGAGGCGAAAAGAAAAAACAGAAAATGAACATGGGATAATTTTGGTCGAGTGTGGGATTGGCTTCAATCTCAGGCCGAGGGAGAAATGAGGGAGGGGGCAATATTTTTGCTCGCTCTACGAACAAGCGAGGTATGTGTGGTTTGCTGCTGCCAGAGCGCCTCTGATACTCTTATAATACAACAGATTGCCGTATGCGGACAAATGTAGTCCGTCATCGGCAAAAAACTCTGGGCAGTGTTTGCGTACTAAGCGCACATGGGCCCAAGTGGACATGTGCGAGGTGTCATTCACCTCCTTCCTCAGAGCTGAGAGATACACGGGTAAAGTCTGGTTATAAGGAATACCCGGTGGGTCGTATACCCGAGCCAGTGGTTCGCCAATTATAATATGCTGGGCAGAAGCCCTATTCCTGATCAAGGTCGCCAGACTAACAATACGCATGGCAACCAGGTCTGGCTCCCAATATGTGTCGCAAAGATCGTTGTGACCTAGTTCGAGGTACACAAGATCGGCGACGGGGATGGCGTTCAACAGGGGGCCGAAATTAGCCACTTTCCCCCCCGACCGCGACAACCACTTAACAATAGAATTTTCAAGCCAGAAGTGTCTGTTGACAATGCGTCCTCCGGCCGTACTGGCTCGCCCTTCAACAAAAGAGTCAAGACGATATATGAAGGAATGGCCGATCACCAACATCCGCCGGGTGGCGGAGGTAACGGGACACCCCCCTTCCGCCATGTTTGTTAGACGAACAAGGAATTCTCTCCTCGGACAAACAACAAAAAAGAGGTCAAAACAACGACTTACTGCAATGAGAAACAACGACTTACTGCAATGAGGAAGTGTCCCGAACGTGACCAACGAATGTGAATGAAGGTAGAGTCCGAAATTCGGCAACAGCCCGGGAAAGACAAAAGGGAGGTAAATCTGAACAGCCGCCCTCGATAACAGAAAATCTTGAGGACAGAGGGGCAAGTTGCAAGCACATGTATTTCTACGGGCTCTGATTGGTCAATTTTGGAAAAGTTTGAGCGTGGCCCATGCAATCCAAACGAGGCGTCCCCGCGTGATCCAAACAAGGAAATCACCGTGCACTGGTCAGCGTAAACCTAGTGGGCGAGGTCGGCTTATCGCGTCCGGCCTAAATTTCTATAAATGACATAAGAATCCAGGGTACCAAAGTATTCCAAATCACGTCGATGAAGGTTAGACATCCAGGTAACAATGATATGCCAAAAAACAGTTACTCAAGCAACTGGATATGATTTTGAAAACGTCAAATCACCAATATTCCAAATCACCTTCGTTTTCCTTTGTTGGTAAACTGGGATTCCAGCAATTTTGATCGGATGATGGAAACAGGTCACATGGCGGCAGCAGTTTCTTTATCCAGTCATCAGCCATACTGAGAACTTCCTCACACCACGACCGGCACGGTAACAATTGTGTACCACTAAAAGACATGAATAGATTGAATGATTGGATGCCGGTGAAAGTACAGATTCTAGACACTGATTTTTTAATTGCACTTACTTATTTCAATTGGTTTATGTCTCTTATTTTAATAGAACCAGATCATTTTTATTCCATATGCGTTTAAGCACCAAAAATATGATCAAACATAACACATTCCAAAACAGTGACTGAATCATTAACTACATTGCAATTACATTTTGTGATCTTTACTTACTTGCATGCAGTCGTATTGGCTTCATTTACGCAGTGAGTCCTGTTTCCTTCGGTGACATTGCATTGCGGGAAAATTATGGTTGATAGGAAATCTTTGAACTCAGGGTGGTAACTTCCTGTAATGTTATCCAGACTGTAGAGCCTCTGAACGTGAGAGGAATTCCGTATCTCCTCAAATGTTGTCTGGCCCAGCTGATTCGGTAGCATTGTGAGTGTTCTACGGAGTTTAAAATCCCCAGGGATAGGCAGGCACACTACAAATAACATTGAAAAAATGTTTTGCCGTTGCACATAGTTTTGATGCTGACATGGGACAAAACTTGGACTTGAAACGGTAGATACCTGCAGCCCTCGTAACTTAACAATAAGCAATTATCAATTCAGAGATCTTACACCTCCATAAATATTTTGTTGTTTTGTAAATTGTGTGCTTTATCTTTTGTCATTAACCCTATCTAGACAGGGCTTTTTGGGATTCGTGGGACGAGGTGAAACTCGTGAACAGTATATCATATGACCACAACAGGGCCTTTAAATTCTGGTAATCTGCAGGATTTTTAGTAATTTACAGGTGGTCATCAACATGCAAAAATCTACAAGGACACTAAACATTTCGTGGAGGCATAAGAACGCCGATCTATAGTTTTATTTATACATTTATATCCCAGCGATCACACATTGATTTTTAAGAGATTAACACGTCACCCTATCTCAAGTTCTGGAAAAAAAAATCCTCCTAGACCTACATAGTACCTACACAAGGCAATATGCCTGTACAACGAGTCTTCGCTGTAAGACTCTTAGGACTCTCTGGTCTTAACTGTAGTGCCCATGTGAGGCTTTTTGTAATGTTTTTGTTCGTGTGTTTGTATATGTATTGCAATGTTAATTTGTATCTGCCAGACAAGTAACTGTAAAAAAATTGTTATTCAGCATGTTTTTGTACAGGCTGTGAGGCTGTTTTTATGAATAAACTGTTAATAAACTTTTAAATGGATCAAAGAACAACTACAACTGCATGGATGTGCTGCGTGATCTCATTACATTTACTAACCACATTCCTTCTCATCACTGCCGTCCGTGCAGTCCGTGTGTCCATCACAACGCTTCCATGATGGGATACATTCATGTTTACAGCCGAAGTGTCCTACAAAATGTATGGTCCCGTTGGCAGGCACATCAGGATCCCAGCATTGTCCAGCCGTATGGACTGTGAAGAAAAAAAAATACAAATATACCATTGTGGCAGTTACTGTTTAACAATTACTTTTAATATAATAGCTAGAGACAGAGCCTGAAAGGAATATAAACAAGAAAAACTTTTGTAAAAAGCTGGCCGGGGCGTGCTTGGAAGAACTACATGAAAGTTGCTTATTGTGTTCCGGTAAAGTTGTTGCAAGAATAAAAATAAATTGCTGTTTGAATTGTGCATGCTTCAAGTTGGATCTCCATTGAAAATGATGTCACCTTGGTGGCATTCTCCTGATAAAATAGATTCACACATTGTTCACAATATACGTGTTCTTAGCTTGACTTTACGTGCAAAATGCACAGTGCTCAATAGCACGATTGGTCTGGTGTGTGCAAAATGCACAGTGCTCAATGGCACGATTGGTCTGGTGTGTGCAAAATGCACAGTGCTCAATGGCACGATTGGTCTGGTGTGTGCAAAATGCACAGTGCTCAATGGCACGATTGGTCTGGTGTGTGCAAAATGCACAGTGCTTAGTGACACGGTTGGTCTGGTGTGTGCAAAATGCACAGTGCTCAATGGCACGATTGGTCTGGTTTGTGCAAAATGCACAGTGCTTAGTGACACGGTTGGTCTGGTGTGTGCAAAATGCACAGTGCTCAATGGCACGATTGGTCTGGTTTGTGCAAAATGCACAGTGCTCAGTGGCACGGTTGATTTTGGGGGGTGGAAAATGCACAGTGATCAATGGTAGGGTCTGTTTGGTCTCAGGGTCTAATTTGGTTGGATCAACAACTCTCTTTTAAACCTCCTTGGTTGAATGTAAAATGTAGAGCCTGGATTTCAGTAGAAGTTATAAATGTGTACTTTGTAAAATTTTATTCAGTAAAGACTTCAGTAAAGATTGTCTTATTCACAAAACATATTACTAGTACCAACAAAAAACAAAAATCTACAACAAAAGGTCATGGATAAACAGCATTTACCGATTTGAAGGGTGCGGAGTCTTATTTTTGCGCGCTAAGAATTGTCGTAAAATCGCACGGTTCAGCCTTATATACATAATTTATTCAAAACGTAAGAAAATGATATTTTCTTTTGTTCAAGAGCAGATACAAAATTTTCATATGATGGCAGTGCCTTAATGCACTGCACTACTTGTATGTATATGACAATATGATGAATGTGAATTTATTGTAAAGTATTCTTATTTAAGTGCTGTATTTAACGAAAACCACAAAGACTAAACTATGGCATAGCACTCAGTATAAATGGCTTCTGAATTGCTTTTAACCATCGAACCTACCAAACACTGACCGTGCCATTAAAGTGGGCACTAAGCCGTACTAGCACAACCAGGGGTGGTACGTTGTTGTCACGTCGGCGGCTTGAGGGGCCGGCGCTGCCGCACGGCCATTGGCACCTCCACGAACCGTGCCGTCGTCTACGTCAGGCTGAACATGCGGTTTATCCCCGCCCGGAAGCTTGGCGTCTGCTAGCACGAATCATGGAGGTAGAAAATGCACGAACGATCTCTTCTCTGTCTTTGTCGTTATAGTCCGGTTGCTAAACCCCCGATTTTTGGAGAACCTTGCAATGCGGTCCATACAAAGTTTTTTTGTTGTTTCTATATCTCTGAGGTGTGCTCTTTCAGAATCTGAATGATGCCACTCTGTCATCCTTGGGCAATTCGCACAATATGCAAATTAAGGTGGCCATTACTGAAAATCCAGTTTTCGTCAATATCTCAGTAACTACTCATGGTATCAGAATAATTTGGTGTCTATCCCCATCTTTTGAGGGATAACGAATTAAATCAAGCCATTTCAGTAAAGATAGAACCACTATTTTTTGCTAAATATGCAAATTTGGGCCGCGCAATATGCAAATTAGGGCGGCCATTACTTTTTTTTTTATTTGCAAATTCAACAAGGACAATACAAGACAAGGTGGTGAGGTACTCTAGCTATAGCTGATTTTAGCCTCACCACCAAACATAGAATACAATTACAATACATAACAAAAAACAGAGAACAGCAAGTGGGTGGGATGGGTCGTTAAATAGTACAAAGAAATGTTTAGTAGGCTATATAATAAATCAATCGAGTACAAACCGTTTGGTGTCAACAATATAAGTTTGAGTGGTTAGCAAGATATTACAGTTTGTATCATAGTATAAATCAGGTAATCCTCTAAGTAAAATATCACATAACAATTGTTCAGACATATTGAAAACATCAAAATCAAAGCCTACCACATTCTGGAGATTGCTGAGTAGGGTGACTCTTTGTTGATTATATAAAGGGCAGTGTAAAAGAAAATCTGTTTTTCGTCAATATCTCAGTAACTACTCATGGTATCAGAATAATTTTGGTGTCTATCCCCATGTTTTGAGGGATAACAAATTAAATTAAGCCATTTCAGTAAAAATAGAACCATTATTTTTTGCTACATATGCAAATTAGGGCCTTGTCTGTTATTGACGCACCTGGCTGCTAGCAAGGAGGGGTCCTAATTCCGACCCATGTTCCATGCAAACGCACATGCCTTGGTATAGTTTATCTGACCCAAAACCTGTTCAATATTGAAAGACAATTCTAAGTTTACTTAAGTCTAGATGGCAGACGTCTTCTAGCATGAAACGCCGCTTGCGTATGATTGTAGACACTGGCTGTTGGTTAGCTCTGGCTCATATATCTGTGTTGGGTATGAAGTCCTGTCGTTTGATGCTTAAGAGCGAATGTCTGTAAGGATCAAACAATGGTGGCACCGGTCAAAAAATCGATTTGGCTCATTTTTTGCACAGTGATAGTACTTGGTACATAACCCCTCAGAATAGCTTTCTTTTTGTTCAGAACCCCTTGTTGCCATGGCAACGGGCCAAAGAAGTTTTCAGGGCATTTGTCCAGATTTTGGCATGTACAAAACATAGAAATTGGCTAACTTTAGAGCACTATAACTGATCAGTGCTTTAGCGTAACGACAAGAGCAAGATGTGCTGATCAGAGCAATGCGTAAACTTGTATAAAATAGCAGTAAAGCCAATCTTCAGTAAAATCTGAGGTCTTGGGCACTCTGAATACAATGCACTGTTTTAAGGGTGTAAAAAAACTGAAATTTTGCCCAACTTTGAAGCACTGTAAGTCCCAGAAGGGGAGGATGTTTTGTTTGAAATTTGCACTGCATAATAAACCACTCCAGAGGTATCAGATGCATGCTCGCAAAGTTTGGGTTCTTGTTTCGTTGCTACGCACTTGTCCTTTAAAGTAGGTCAGTTTTCGTTATTTTGATGATATGTCATTTTGTGCTTTCTTTGAACTAACATAAGCTCCAAACCAAACTAGTTCTTTACTTGAAATTTACATGAAGTATAAAACAACTAATTGTCTATGAAATGCATGCTTGCAAAGTTTGGGTTCTTGTTTCGTTGCTACGCACTTGTCCTTTAAAGTAGGTCAGTTTTCGTTATTTTGATGATATGTCATTTTGTGCTTTCTTTGAGCTAACATAAGCTCCAAACCAAACTAGTTCTTTACTTGAAATTTACATGAAGTATAAAACAACAAATTGTCTATAAAAAAAAGGAATGCAAAGTTTGGGTTCTTGTTTCGTTGCTACGCACTTGTCCTTTAAAGTAGGTCAATTTTCGTTATTTTGATGATATGTCATTTTGTGCTATCTTTGAACTAACATAAGCTCCAAACCAAACTAGTTCTTTACTTGAAATTTACATGAAGTATAAAACAACAAATTGTCTATAAAATGCATGCTTGCAAAGTTTGGGTTCTTGTTTTGCTGCTACGCGCTTGTCCCTGAAAGTGGGACAATATTCATTAGTTTGATAGTACGTCATTTTGTGCTATCTTTGAACCACCATAAGTTCCAAACCAACATTGGTTTGTACTTGCAATTTACGTGAGATATAGAACAATATATTGTCAATGAAGTGCAAGTTTGAGGTCTTGTTTTGTTGCAGTGAAACTGGCCTTGAAACTGGGTATTTTTTTTCAATATGTCATTTTGTACTATCAATTTAAAAGTATCATAAGTTGCAAACCAATATTGCCTGCATTTGAAATACAAAATTTAATGCTATGTTGCCCCTTCCTTAGGGGCAACATAGCATGCCATCCAGTTCCTAGACTATATTGAATCTCCCCTTGTCTCCGTGGTCAGGGCAAGAAACTTGAGAAGTCCTTATCTCTTTCATCTAGAGTTCACGTTAGCTTGATAAAGATGAGATATAAACCTATGTGACATGTCAAAGAGAGGTGACTTATACGAACTTGGGATTGCATTGCTAAAACTGATTTGTGAACACGGCGATCACTTATGGAAGATACATCCACATCAATGCATTGATGTGGATGTATCTTCCATAAGTGATCGCCGTCGGAAAGCGGCCTTTGTAGCAAAACTGAAAGAGTACTTAATAAGTTCCTGTCCTTGCTCAAAATGAGTACAGTCTACATGTACAGGAATAGCGGAGTTGACTGAAATGCATGTTTTCCACTTAGACATAGTTATACAAAGACATAGAGTGATAGACTACATATTAGAAAGATGCGTAGGGATTTATCATATTTATTCAAATATAGAAACAAGTCAAGTCTTCGAGAGTCAATAATGTGGGGACGCTGAATATGACTGTATAAGACTGTTATCATCAAATTAAGATAAAGTGGCATACGTTCAATAACAGCCACAATGCTACAACTATATCATGCAAACGTTGGTGCTAACTATTTCATAAACAACCCAAGGCATAGATCTTTCAAAATTAGAGATAGAATAATTAAAACCTTTCCTTTTTCATATTAGACTCCCAAAGATAGCCAATATTTTGCATTAGTGGACAAGTGAAGAATATGGCTTACTTTCAGGGACAGGTACAGCCACTAGAACACAGGAATCTGACCTATGCAAACATGCATTTCAAAGATAATATATAGGTTTACATTCAGTTTAAATTTAAATAGCAAAACAATTTACTGTTGAGACTTATGAGAGTCAAAAGA